CTTTTTCACTAGGAAGGTGATGAAACCACTGGAATGTGTTACCTAGGGAGGTGGTAGAATCTCCTTCCTTAGAAGTTTTTAAGGTCAGGCTTGACAAAGCCCTGGCTGGGATGATTTAATTGGGGATTGGTCCTGCTTTGAGCAGGGGGTTGGACTAGATGACCTCCTGAGGTCCCTTCCAACCCTGATATTCTATGATTCTATGATCAGCACTGCAACTGCTTGTTCTATGTGGGTATGACTCCGGCCCATTCCTGCCCTCATCATCATCGAATCCAACCCCACTTTTCAGGCCAAAGACTTGGCCCATAGTGCAAAAAGAAGATTAGGCCAACATTTTCAGAAGTGGTCACTGGAAAAATCTTTGACCAGTTCCAGGGATGCATTTGTCTACAGGTATTACCTAACTTGACTGGTAGAATGTTTACTTTTCTGTAATACAATAATGTTTATATCAATGGCCTGAGAGCATCTAAATTGCATTTATATCAGTATCCCACTACTGCTTAATTTTTATGCATTTTATTGTGTGTGTGTGTGTAATCAATAAAATTCAGTTTATTCTATTGCATCAAGTATGGCAAGTTCCCTAATTGGGCTGTGAGTTAGTTCCTACTGCAAACCAATGACTGGGTGATGATTTGAGGAATGAAGTCTTCTGCTAACCCAGAATGGCTTAGCACAGCTGATGGATGGTGATTGAGTGTTTTTATTCATCCTGGAGGAAATATTTCTCAGATTATATCAACATAGCTGTGGTCATTTACATTCCTGCTATATCTGCTGAGCATTTCAGAGTATTACCCATATTTTATAAAGCAGTTTGTTGTTAAGCTATTGAACACTTCTGAAAGAATATTCATCTTTAGCTCACTAGCAACTGGCAAGCAATTTTCGTAATAGATGTCATTCTTCAAAGTAGGGGTTTGAAGTGTTAAGTCCAAGGTTTTGCCTGAAATATGAAGCTAGACAAATACTTCATTTATGAATTCACTATAAACAAACCTTCCTAGGCTTTTAAGTCTAGTGGGGTTTCACCTGATAAAGGTTTATAATATTCCTCTGTGTTAAAATGCACAGGAATAGCAAACCAAGTTACAGATGTTGCCAGAGTTGTGAGTTTTGTTGCTCTACGTTTTCCTTTAGTTTCTCTTCCTCCTTTCCCATTATGGTATGCTTACTGGGTGAGAATATACTTATTAAACATCTGTAGACTTGATAGGCAGATATCAAAGTTGGTCAGAAAAATTCCAATGAAATATTTTTTGCCAGAAAGTGCTGATTCATCAAAATGTCACATGAAGGGGATTTGATTTCAGCAGAATTCCAACAGAACCAAGGCAGAGATCTGATGGATCCCTGCCTGCCAGGGTTTCCATCAGCCTGGTTTCCTATTGGTTCACCTGACAGTATCCTCAATAACTTGGACTTCCAGACTCCCAGCTCCTCAGCAGCCCATGTAGCTGGCTCTGGGGAGCTGGGAGCCCCAATTCCCAAACTCAGACCCTTGGCAAACCAAGCTCCAAGGGCTTCCTGAGACCAATGGTTCCGGGGCTGTCAACTAGGCAGACTGCCACATTGGCAAGGGTCCATTTCCTTTGATGGAGAAATTTGAGGTTTTCGGAATCATAATAGACCCAAATTTGAAAATATCTAAATTTTCCCCAAAAAGGGAATTGCCTCTCTGCCCAGCTCCAGTAGACATAGCCATATTGATTCTAAACCTATCTTTTTTGAAATGTTCAAAAAAAAAAAAGTAGTTGTGATGGCTGCAAAATTAGCATTTTTTTTAAAACGAAGAAAACTATGAAGATTCAGCACAGCTTAGAAGCCTTAACAATGCAAAATGGTTCACATTCAAGCTGCTCGCACCATTACTGACAGAAGCGAGTAGGTCTAAAAATCAAGCTGACCTATCCAGGAATGTATTGATGTCTTAATTTGAATGCATAGCAATTTACAATCTCTCTGCACCAAAGAATGACAGAAGTCAATATAATAAACTGTCTCTCCAAAAAATACAATTTGTTTATTAATCCAGTAAAATGTGTAACAACCTTAGATCAATGTTACAACTTCTATGGGCATTCAGAATTCAATTCGTAGATTTCTTTCCCCCCCCTTCCCCCCCGGAACATATTTTCCAGACAAAAAATAAATTTTAACAAACCACCTAACAAAAATCAAAATCAATCAATCGAGGCTGTTAGGTGTTTTTCAAATCACATGGTGGGCTGTGCTTTGTATTTTGTAATTTAAAACAGTGGAGTCCCAGAAAAGAGAGTTGCCAAGAAGTGCATAACTGGTAAGTAGAAGTCGGCATTGAGGGTGAAATCCCGGTCCCCTTAAATCAATGGCAGTTTTGCCATTGATTTCAATACAGTCAAGATTTCACTGTAAGTCCTTATAGGGAAAATTAATCATTATATTTACTAACTTCATCCTATTTAAAATACACCCACCCATTCTGGTTACAAATACAACATTTATCAATAATAAAACCATAGACAGTATCATGAGACCAAAGTCCCAAAATGAATTACCTTTTTGATACCCCCTAACCAAAACTCTCCCTCACCCCATTCTATTAATCCATCCCTCTCCACCAGAAAAAAAACAAAAACAAACAGAACTGGCACAATAGAGAAGCTTTGTAATGTGACTATCAGGTCAAACTTTAAGACCAGATTCTGATACTGTAGATCAACTTTACTCCGGATGAATAGCTCCTTATTCCACAAGAAGTCCCAATAACTTCAGTGGAACTATTTGTGGAGCAAGGTGTTACTAACTATGGTAAGTGACACACAATTTGGCTCTTTGACTCTGCAGGGGAACGAGAATTCTTCAGTAAGTCCTGAGGTTGAAGGCCTCATACACTGATGGTGCCCTACCTGCAACAGAAATGAGGAGGTGGCCCCAAAAGGATCCCAGTGAAGAAAGTAATTACACATAGGTCATAGGACCAGGAGCAACTAGAGGGGAAAAAAGAGGCTTTCTGGGAGAAGTAGAGTGTTTCCTTGGAGATCTGAGTTGTCAAAAAGAAAAGGAGCACTTGTGGCACCTTAGAGACTAACCAATTTATTTAAGCATGAGCTTTCGTGAGCTACAGCTCACTTCATCGGATGCTGTAGCTCACGAAAGCTCATGCTCAAATAAATTGGTTAGTCTCTAAGGTGCCACAAGTACTCCTTTTCTTTTTGCGAAGACAGACTAACACGGCTGTTACTCTGCGTTGTCAAACTAACATCTAAGAGAATTTAGAGGCACTGGTTGATGGCCAGCCTCTTGCAAATGAAATCACAGGGTTCAACTCACAAACACAGGCCTCTACTCAGGAAAGTACTTACACATGTGTTTCAGTCTTAGTGACTTCAATTGGATTACTCACACACATAAAATTAAGCACATTTAATTGTGCTGCTGGGTCATGCTTAGCTCAGAAGATTCATAGATCCCTAACTCCAAATATATCACTTGAATTGATCCAAAGGGGTTCTTAATCCCTTTTGTACCATTTAAAACCGAAAATGTTACTCAGCAGTTTAGTAAATGCCTCCATCATTTTTCACCATTTCAAAATGAGATCAATTTAAAACAAATATTTGACCACAGGACATTTTTTGCTCTTCAGTATTACTTAAGAGGAAAGAAAGATCTCTGTGATTTCATTTACACTGGAACTCAATTTATCAATATACTTTTTCATAAGAGAATAAATATCAATTGCCAAATTTTAAAATGCAGAAATGTAAGTTACAGCTGCAAAACACAATGTATGTACACCCATTATACTTGCAAACGCCACGTTTGTGCTTGTAAGCAATTAGGTAGCTGCACAAATACCCAAAGTGCAAATGCCTCTTTTTGGTGGCTTATTTGTTTATTGTTGGATTGCACGTGCCCACCTGTTCCACTACCCTCTTTTGGAAACTGTGCTCCAATTTGTCCTTAATAACCTCTGGTGACTGTAGGCTAGTTGTTAAGGACTGCAACATTGGTCCCTAAAAACCTGAATGACAATTCTGCTTTCTTAGGGAATGCAGGATTGAGCCCTTGAAAAATAAATAGCCAGAATATCTTTTTATATAACTATGCCATGGTCCATCTGCTATACTCAGTCAAACTGATGAAAATCAGAAGTAACCTCAATTCTTCCAGATTCTGAACTTGATGTGTTACTCCAGATTTAGACCCATGTAACGGAGATCAGAATATAGCCCATCATATATATAAGATCTTTAAATTTAAATGCTATGGACTAAACTCATCAATAATATAAGTGGGTGAAATTTCAATGACTTCAACTGAGCTGCTCCTGTTAAGACCAGCTGTGAATCTGGGTCTAAATATTATAGACCAGAAGCAGTCCTTTTAGAGAATGGGGAGGGACAAAAGGCTTAAGCCAAAAATATTGGCAAATCTCTGCATGCTATATAAGCAAGGAGAACTTTAAGGTTCTTCACTGTATGTTTTGTAGTGTTGCCAACTCTAGTGATTTTATCACTAGCCTTGACATATTTGAGGTTTTATTTAAAGCTCCAGCTTCTGGAAATTTAAGCCTTTATTTATTTAATGTAAGTTCCTAGCCCTTGTGGTTAAATAGAAAAGATTGAAATATAACCTGAAGGCTCAAAACCCAATAGGCAAATAAAAGGATCCAAAACATTTTTTAAAATATCATAATTTTTATGTTACTCCCATGATGTTTTGGGTCCTGACTCATGATTTGTAAACTTTTGGGGTGGGCAATACTGAGAAGTGGCCATGGGAGGAATTCAAACTATAGCTAGTCTTCCTGCTGTATATGCAATGGGGGTGGGGAGACAGAGGTTTGCAGTGCCTCTGGCTAAAAAAGGAATTACAAGAAAACATTTATCATGAAGTTACAGATTATTCCTTACAACTAGCCTTTTAGCCAGCCTGATTTAACATATACAGTTTTATTGTCTGGAGAGGAAATAGAGGGGTAAAATGAAAAGAACAAGACAGTTACTGACCTGTGGGAAAAGGGAGTAAGTTGCATTGTCAATAGTGACAGAATGTAAAAATTCCCCATCAAACCAGAGGTTCTTTCCCAGTGGAGAGTTCTGTTTTGTCATGGCAAAGAGCTGACTGGGGTCACAACAGTCTTCCAGCTGTTTCCTAATAGCGGCAACAAAGAAAGAAAGAAATGTATTAATTAGGGCTCAGTTATGGAAATCTTCTAGTGATGCTTCCCATCTTTACTTGGATCTCCACCCAACTGAAACTATGTAAATGCTATTAAGTCAAGCCTCTTCTACTAATAAAGAGCCAAACAATAGGAGATTTCTACTCTGAATATTGGTATGATAAGTTTAATGGACTATTTAGAAAACAAGGTATTTAGACATTCAAATTCCAATCCAATGAGTTTGCAGTGATTACTGCACTTGCAGAGGAACTAATAATTGTGATTGTTATTGACATTCTTAGAGAAAGCTAGTCCAACATATTCCATCATTTTAATTTTTTTTTAAATAAAATTGGGAACAGTTTTTAAGCAAAAAATATGCCCATTTTCAACTAGTTCTAATTAGTAAACATAAAAACCACAGGTCTCTAGTACCCTTTTAAGAGTCACAGGCATGGAAATTAAAGAAATCATAGTTTAAAAAAACTGTTTAATGACATAAAAGTTAAACACAATGTTTTATTGTTTATTACCAGGCCTATATAAAACCCAACAACTGAATACTCCCCAAACTTTGGGAAAGTTGAGACCCAACTCCTAATTTATCAGTTCAGGTTTGTTTCAAGTTACTAAAAATCCTTGTGCTACTTTCACAGCTTCTGCAATCTGACTGAAGTCCAACTTGGATAATTGCATGCTGCTATATTATAGATGCCATGTCGTTTTAATGGGATAGGGCATTCTCCTTTCCTCTCCTATAAATTGTTGTATCATTGTGCACTATTAAACAATGTTGTGTTCCACCCAAGAGGCAGTTGGGTTTTTATGAAAGGACAAGGTTTCCTGTGTACAGTATATGGGCCCGATTCTGCAACTGCCATAAAGAGTAACCCTTACTGATAGGACTGGAGGATTACTCCCATGAGGAAGGTTCTCCAGTATTGGTGCCACAGTTTGCAATTGTGTTGTTGGGCTCTTTGAGCAGAACTGATGTCACAAAATTGCACATCAGAGCAGGATCCGATGTGGTGGGCTTCTCTGCATTGAAGCAGACAGGCATAGAGCTCCCCACAATCTCCCAACTGCCACCAAGTTTGATTGCACCCCGAGCGGGGTTTAGGTGGATGGGGATTGTTTTGTGACTAAATAGTTCTGGACCTCAGCAAGCTGGACTACGAATACTTGGAACTCTGGGGTAACAAAACTCCAGAGTTTTAATCATTTTGTTGTATATAAATATTTAAGTGATTGTGTTTCTTTTGTTTCCCTTTTTCCCCAAAAAATGATACCGAGGTTCCATGACCTCAGGGAGTCCTGAGGGCTTGTGAGTGGGTATGAAACACCTGCAAAAGGGACCAGAGAGGTTATATTTTAATTTCCCAGTGCCAGAGGTAGAAGTGCAGCTGAGTAGAGGCTTGAGCCATAAGATTGTTTAACCACTAGACAGATTGAACCTGAGCCTGAGTGCTGCCACTGGCATGTGGCTGAAGGGTTATAGGCGAAAAAGGCACAACATAACCGATTAACATGTTTCGAACATTTTTTTCTGTCAAAAATGGCCTTTATTTAAATGTTGCCTTTTCAATTTTTATTTTAAATTTTTTTTTTGGTAGTCACAACTTCATTAAAAAAAAAATCAAAAATGTTTCTTTACCAACATTCTGGAGCTTCTTAGTAAATGAAAAATGTCTGGAACGGTTTCAATAACATTGGATACAAATTTCAAGTAGTACTAATACGAAAATGGGTCCATTTTGAACCTGGTAAAATGGAAACAGTGTCAACATATTTCACAATTTAAAAATAAGAAGTGATTCTCTGCACTCTAGTTATGATTTATTTCCCAAATCCTGGTCAGGGTGTTCATTTACTTGCTTTGATGCCGTTGCTACTAGCGCCCTATCTCCCAGGCTACCAGAGAGCAGCCCATTGAAGAAAACAGAAGTGGATAGGAAGAGCTCCTGGTGGCAGGGAGGAGAGAAGGATAGTAGATAATGATGTAGGAAAGATGGATTGAGCCTGGTATTGAGACACTAAAGGCGAAATCCAATGAAAATGAAATGCAGAAAGATTAAACTGGGAAAAAAAATGCATTTGCACACAGTGCACAAATTGCCCATGAATTTCACAGGGTCACGGTATTAAGACCAGCGGTAGGAGTCCAAAAAGACTGAAAGCTTATATGATTAATAAGAATAAAAGCTTTGGAAGGGATGCAGATACTCCCATTAGTTAGAGGTTGATTTATGCCTAAAACCTGGAGTTAAGAAGAATTTTTCCATCAAGCAGGTTCCCCTATAACTGCAGGGTTTCCTCAAGACTTCTGAAGCAGCTTGTCCTGACCATTCTCAGAGCTTGTGCCTACACTTAAAACACTACAGCAGCACAGTTGCACTGCTGTAGCACTTCAGTGTAGACACTACCTACACTGACGGAAGGGATTCTTCTATCAGCATAGGTAATCCACCTCCCCAAGAGGCAGTAGCTACGTCGACAGAAGAATGCTTCCATTGACCTAGCGCTGTCTACACAGGGACTTAGGTTGGCTTAACTATGCTGCTCAGGGTGGGGATTTTTCACAACCCTGAATGTTGTTACATCGATGTAATTTTCCAGTGTAGACTGAAACTCTATGACAAGATACTGAGCTCCCTGGACCACTAGTCTGATCCAGTATGGCAATTCCTACATGTGCCCAGTGGTTGGGGTGAGGTTTCCCAATCTCTAGCCACTAGAGAGGGATTTCATGTCCTCCCCATCTTGAAATCCAAATGAAACCTCTACCACAGAGCTGTGATGACTGGAATGCATGATATTTTAAAACAACCACAAGAGATTTGAAATCACTCACTGAATCACATTTTGAAAAACAGCTTAGAGCAGACATGGAATAGAATGATATTCCCCATAGAAGACAGTCTTTCAGTTCAGGAGATCTGAGTTCATTTCCTGTCTCTGCTACAGAGAGCCTGTGTGACCTTGGGCAAGTCACTTAACCACTCAATGACTCACCTCCCCACCTATAAAGTGAAGATGTTCTTCTTTTCCCCACCCTTTTTCTATCTTTTCTATTCTAATAAGATTGTAAATATTTTGGGGGTAGAGACTCGAGGAACTAGCACAACGAGACCCAATCTCAGCTGGGACCTTTAAGAGCTATTATATTACACAAAAATAATGGGCCAGAACCTGCAGTTCTCATCTTCAGGGGAAATCTGGCCTGAGTGCCAGCTCCAGTGAAAATAGATCTATTCATCAGTGAGAAAACCATGTTTGAAATGTTTTATACTCATTAGCCAGATCCTCAGCCAGTGTAAACTGGTATAATTTCATTGTCTTCAGTGGAGCTACACTGATTTACACCAGCTGAGGATCTGGCCTTCGTAGATGTTTTTCCTCAACATTTGAATACAGTCGTCACGTACATAAAGTTTCTGTAGGCTTCATCTTCCCAAAAGAACTGCTGTTGTTGCATATCTTGTTAGAACTGGAAGACCTGAAAAATGCTCACAGTGTTGCAGAGACTATTAAAGCCTGCCATTCTTATCTTGTTCTTACACAAGAAATTACCCATTCCTTTGCCAACACCATGTCTTGACTATAACTAAGCATTGGATTGTAACAAGATGTTTTTAGAGAGAGACAAAAGCTATAACCAACCTCGTGGGTAAAATGAAACCCTCCTGGCAACAGCTTATATGAAAATCCTACATCTGACACGGGAAAAAATCCTCTTCCACACAGTCTAGAGCCTGAAGTTTTGGTTTACAGTGAGTTTTCTGAACCTTTTGTTTCTGTTTACACTGGCTTGAACCCAAAGCAAAACTCAGGAAAAAAAAAACGTAAAATTAGAACATTTCCCAAGGTTCTAAGTCAAAACCAAAAATCCCTCCCATACATTAAGATGATTTGTGGCCATAACTGAGGCCAAGGTATGGGTGGGCTTTTGGGCTTCAACAGGAAAGGATTACTAAGCTGTACTTGAACAGCGCCACCTAATCAGGTCCATCTAATCATTACACAAACACGGAAGTACAGACATAGTGGTAGGCTGTCTGACTATCTTTGGTAACTGAATATCGAATGGGGGACTGTTGGGATGGTGCTAGATAGATGTGGCCGTACTGAATGAATCGTGAGAACATGGTTTGACATGACTGAACTGCAAAAGAGAATTCTGGGAGCAGAATCCTTCTCTTAGCATCAGGCAAATGGCAGAAGTGAAACTGAATGGCTCCATGCTGCGTGTATGATCAATACTGATGTTTGAGTCAGCAAATATATCCACTTGAAAGCAAACACGTGTAGAACATCCTGAGTGGAGCATGGGCTGACTCATCACGCAGGAAGCTGAAGTGAATAACGGATAAGGGAGTGAATGTGCGGTAATGTTCAGTTGGCACCACTCTGCAGCCTCCTCCTAAAGTATTAGTCAGGTAAAAATCGGTAGCCACATGCCCACTGGGCATGCTTTTAAGACACATGACTCCTTTGAGGAGAAAGTATAAAAACCAAGCAAATTCAATTACTGTTGGGGGAATTCCTTAATTGACGCTGCTAGACAAAGTAGCCAAAACTCTGCTCCGTGGGCTCAAGTAAGACTGTGACCAAAGGGGTTTCCAGGCAATCAAGACCTTGCCTCGAGGGAATCTGAGACAGACCAGAAGGCTGAGGAGACCAGACCTGGAGAGAAGAAGTCATGCATAAAATTTGGGTAACCACCTTTTCTGTTTGCCAAGCAGGAACTGTGTGAGGCCAGTACAGGACCAGTTTCTGTACATTTGTGAAAGAGGCTCACCAAGAGGAATGTATAGCTCTTACTGTATAGTTCTTTAATGCCTAACATAGGAGTTATGCACTTAATGTAACCCTTTACCATTTGTGTAATTCCTTCTCAAATAAACTACAGTGTATGCAAGTTAGTTATTGTGGACCTTTTTCACTAGTATGACAGTAATCTGCTCCACTGGGAGCCATTAAAGATTCATTC